GGTAGGAGGAAACGATGGAGTCGAGGAGCAAGCACTCAGATGAACGCAGGACGCGACAACGAGCACCGCATGATGATCACCGAAAGACGACGTACCTGGCGACGGCTAGCGGCGGCAGTGGCCAACGACGGAGTCGACAGTAGCTGCGTGACGAGGCGAGCACGTATTTGGCCGGCTGCACGCGAATGCGACGACGATGGCGGCACTGGTTGTAGCAACATCGCCGCACCAGTCTCGTGGCAGGGGACAGTGAGGGTGAGGAGAAACAACAGGAGGTCAGTGGTCAACAGGACAACGGTCATACGCAAATACGACCGGCACATTGCACGGTAGACGTGGACAAACGGACAAGTCGGTCGGACTACCAATAACGGTCGGACGCGGACACGACAGCAGCGCTGACACCGGCGCCAATGCGCGCGCGACGGACCAACCCTATGGACGAACGACGCCGACGCTGGTCACGCGACGCTAGCGTCATCAGTCGTCTACGAACTGCGCCGAAAATTTGCATAACGACTGGGTAGACGCGCCTATTGGTCATGTCGTGGTGCTTGAGAGCTTGTCAGGCGGCCATTGACGCTGATTATCGCCAGCGAAGGGGCAACGACCGAGGTAGCTGTTTGCTTGTCCGTTTGCCTGCTGCCTGCATGTGTTCGGGAGGGAGTACCTCACCCTCAGAGAGATGGAGGGCTGCTTCCGTTTCATTTTTTTCGATTTGTCATCGTTGAGGTTGTGCCACGAACGAAAGCCATCGCTCCTGCAATCGTCTCTCTTGTTGAGCGTCATTTTGCGAGTGGTTGTTCGAAAGTTCATTCATAGTGTCAATCTTCATTAATTATTGCTGACGTGTTTTTTTTTACATTCATTCCATCAACACATTCAAGGAAAGCATTTTGTGAAGTTTTGGTCGCGGACAAATATTGGCAACAGGTGGCTACTTACTACGGCAACTTACTAGAACGGCCTTCTCTATCTCTTCTATCCCTTCATCTCGAAAGACTTATTAGCACGTAACGATACGTTTTAACAAGGAACGGTCCCGGCTGACGAGGAAGGGAACCTACAGTAGGCAGGTAGTGGGCATTAAATGTGCTGAAAAAGTATTAGAAATGGTCATCAAAGGTTGGATAATACATGCCTCACATAGAGGACCTTCTGCCCACGGATATTGGCATCGCTGACTTCAAATTTTTAAACGACCTATTGTCAGACTGGTGGATTCATATCATTTACATTGACATTTCGCGTGTATATTCAGTAACTCCGCCACTACCCGTGCCAGGCCCAGATGAGAAGCGAGGTAGCTTGGGGACCGTATTGAGGTCTCCGTAAAAATTAGCAACCTACCCACCAGGTATTGCCGTCGTCGAACGTTATACTAGCTCGGTCGTCGCCCGGCTTAACAAGGCCGTGCAGACGAATGGAGCAGACTATAAAAAGTCGGCGATCAGAACCTGCTCACGACCTTCAAGCAGCTGGCGACTACGTCAGATAAGATTCCACAAGAACCCTAGCGACAGTGCAGTGGGATTTCATGGTCAGAAATTGGAACGTCTCTTTACTCAGAGGGAAGATTTAGGTACTAGATGCTGTCGCAGGGCATCGACTGGATATAGCATTTGGTGCGTCGAGTAAATGACGATAAACCGAGTTCTTTCACCGTTGACACGGTTTCCCCCAAAGCTGCTTTCTATCCCCTCTACGGTTTGTGTTGTACATGAACAGAATAGTCACGCGTCGCCAAGGCGATGAGTGTATCGGTGTATGGAATGCACAGACGAGAAAATTGCTGTTTACAGATGACCTTGTTCTGTTGTTACTTTCAAAACTGATCTCCAGCATTCTCGGGGAAGGTTCTCAGCCAGTACGTTTGTGGACGTTTATAAAATGTATGGTACCTCATGGTTCTCTTGTTTGCTGAGCTCTGCAGATGGATGAAGAAGCAATGGAACAGGGGGAGAAGTTCAAGTAACTCGAAGCGGTGTCTACTGGTGATCGACTGGTGAGTTGGA